CTCTCTCTCTCTCTCTCTCTCTCTCTCTCTTCTTTTTATTATTTTTTTAAATCCTTACACAAGGATATTTTTTCCATTGCTTTTCAGAGAGAGTGGAAAGGGGAGAGAGAAAGAGACACAGAGAAAGAGAGACAGAGAGACAAAGACATAAATTGGTTGCTTCCCACATATACCCTGACCAGGGCCAGGGATCCAGCCTGCAACGGAGGTACGTGCCCTTGGCCAGAATCAGACCTGGGACCCTTCAGTCTGCAGGCCAATGCTCTAACCACTGAGCAAAACTGGCTAGGTCTAATTTTCTTCCTTTACCATCTTCCTTTTTGCCCTAGTCTTGACTCTTCTATTTTCATATGTCTCTTTAAAGCCAGGATTGTGCCATACCTGAAAGCTTTGTGACTACTATAGCTCCAGCAGGGTACCTTACTCATAGTAGTCATCTATAAATATTTGTTGAATTAGATATTACTAAGACTCAAATTCTGCACAAGAGAAAATCTGATAATTAATAGTTTTGAAAGCATGTTTTGTTGGCTAACTGTTATTTGGATAAGAAGGTATTGTTTCCGTATTATCATCAGCAGGCATTTTGTATCTGTTGTTTCTAAAACTTTTGCCAATTAAGAACTACAGACTTGAAAATTCTGTTTCTTGAGTGATGATTATATCATTTGAAATTTGTTCTCCAAAAACTCTGTGCCTTATACTATAGAATATTTCCATTCTTTAATTTGATACCCACTTAACGAACCCCTGCTCTGAACAAGATACTATGAATAGTACAAAGCATATAGTGATGAAGAAAAGAATCAAATCCTCATTTACTAAGCTTATAGTCTTATAGAGAAGATCATTTTTTTAAGTGTTATAAAAATATATAAATTTTAACTTTGAAAATATTATAAAGGAAAGGTTCAGATTATGCTACCATGTACACTATAAAGTTGCTAAAAATATATATATTTCAAATACTACACAGTGGGTTTTTAAGGACTTTATTGGAAATCAGTTATTTCTCAAAATTCTTTGAATGTTGATTTTATTTTTCATTGTTCCATCATTGTGCATGCTTGCATTTTGTTTTAAGGACTTTTAAAAAATGTTCATATAGAGAATAAGGCTTGGAGACATAATTAGCCCAAGAGACTGATTTATTCTTGGATTACCTTTTTCCAAGTAGAATTTCTCTGAGTAATTTTTTCAAGTAATTAACGTGTTGCTCTCAGATTAAAATAACATTTTCTAACTTGTAAGGAGAATTGTAACATTACATTTCGTTTATTTCTCTATACTATATCAAATAGTTTTTTCTCTATTTGGTATCAAATTGGAAGTAAAATGGTGTGTTAAACTTGTTCTAATCTTCAATCATAGTGTTTAAAGAATATGTGTTTGACCCTTGAACAACTCAGAGGTTACGGGTGCTGAACCCACAAATTAGAAAACCCATGTATAACTTTTGACTTCCCGAAAACTTAACTACAATCATCCTCTGGTATCCGCAGGGGATTGGTTCCAGTACCTGTCACAGATACCAAAATCCACAAATATTCAAGTACCTTATATAAAATGGCTATAACAATGCATGCAGTTGGCCCTCTCCATCTTCAGATTCCTAGCTGTGGATCAGAAATACTGTTTTCAATCCCCAATTGGCTGAATCCATGGATGTGAAACCCAGGGATGTGGAGGGCCAACTGTCAATGTATACATACTGTTTTAATGTCTATTTATTTTAAAAAATCAACATAGAAGTGGACCTGTGTAGTTCAAACCTGTGTTGTTCAAGGGTGAACTGTATATTACAATTCATATATATGTATGTGTATATGTGTGTGTGTGTGTGTATGTATGTCTGTAGATATTCAGTATAGTCGTCTACTAAAAGTAAATGTTTTGTAGCTAAAAACTGTTAAAAACTTATTTGTGTTAGAAACCAGTGTCAATTAATTTATCTGTGGATTTATACTGCAGGTTGCCTGTGGTGGATGTCACATGGTAGTTTTTGCCACTCCACGACTTGTTCTAGAAAGAATTGAACTTGGGGAAATTAGTGATTCCTGCATACCTGAAGCAACTTCTTTGCCCATCAGCGACCTGACCTCAGGAAATGTACTGCATAGGACTTTATCAGCACGAGTGCGTCGAAGAGAGAGGGTACACTTGTGGCGTAATCTATGTAATAGTATTTTCTAGTACTGCAAAGAAAACTAGAAGAAAAAAATTCGTTTTTTAATCTATGAAGGGTCTTGTTAGATACAGTTACTAAATAAAATTATTAGAGTTGAGGGCTTATAAGCTTTTAAAGGGAACTCAGTTAAGCTGTTAAACATATAAATTAGAAAATTCAAATAATTCTGAATAACCTTGGCTTATAGACAGTGATACTTATCACTCTCTTAATCACCTCAGATTGAATACTGTTGTTTTCTCAACTGTATGTGGATTGACTTTTACTTTGCTTTTATCTTCTAGTTATACCTCATGAGCAGTGGAAGGTTATAACCTGTAAACAATGAAACATGGAAATCAAAGAATCAGGACTTCAGTTTGAGAGAGGGGATATTTTTTCTCAATTAAATTTAAAGTGTCTTATTCTGGGCTTTAAAATTATTTCAATGATAGTATTATTTTTAAAAAATTAAAATGCCAAATAATTTTTACAGGAGACATTCCTTTTTAAAAAAATTTGTTTAAGTTGCAAAATGTATTCCTTTTGAGGTAAAAGGTTAAGTTTGACCTTTTTTTAGGGTTAGATCTTTTTAATGTTTTTATTGATTTTAGAGAGGGAGGAAGGGAGAGAGATAGAAACAGCATATGTAGATCGGCTGCCTCCTGCATGCTTCCTACTTGGGATAGAGCCTGCAACCTGGGCTTGTCCCTGACCAGGAATTGATCCAGTGACCTCTTGGTTAATGGGTCAAAGCTCAACCCCTGAGCAACACCAGCTGGGCAAGTTTGACTTTTTGTTATGAAAAAGTATCTATGGAAAGATTGAGAAATATCCCGTAAGCATTTTGTAGTTGTTGTTTATGTCTCATGAGTAATTTTTTGTTTCTTAATAAAGGCAGAGAAAACAAACACATACTTTTCCTCATCATGTGAAAAACAGGCTTTCATATTAACAATTTAGAGCAACTTTGACACAGGGACAAAAGAACAGAACAGTTTTGAGCCATTGGGGATTATATAAAGTGAATGGTGTGGGATGTTGGCCAACTTTGAACTCTTTCTCTTAAATATTTTTAGCAACAACAGGGTATTTGATGTCTGTATTAAATATATAACATCATTTAACAGTTTATTTAACTTCTTATTTTAAAGGAGAGATCCCCAGATTCTCTTCAAATGACACAGTCGCTACCTCCAATTAGAGGGACTCTTGGTTCACCTGTTGATTTTTCCCCAAGTTCAGTTCCTTTTTGTGTATCTACAAGTAATCTGCTAGAGAAAATTATGACTGAAAGGGAGGACCCCATGAAGCTCATGGAACCAGGTAATATTTGATAGATACTCTGCCTGATCTCAGAAAAAATATACATTTTATTCCTGTTTTCATGTTAACCCCAAGATGTTTTCTCTAGTTAAATTGTTTTCTTTCTAAAGATTGACATCTCTTATTTGAACTCAAATCCTAGAATGCTCTTACAAATAGCAAGCAATGTTTAGCATACGTAGTACCTTAGCTTACATTATCTCGTTTAAACCCTGAAGCAACTCCATGAATCAGGAAGGAGTTATATTCTTTATTTTTATAGATGAGAAAAGCAAGGCTTGAAGAGATTGAGTGTCTTGTCCAAGGTTGCTCAGCTTATAAATGAAGTGAATGGGTTTGAATGCAGGTCTTCTGGACCTATGTGAAGTTCCGCATTTGGCCAGTATAGCATAGTGGTTAAGAGCCTGTTGTATGGAGTTAAATTGATCTGGGACCAGATGACAGCACTGACATTTATTAACTATGTGACTAACTTCAGAAAAGTTGCTTAATTTTTCTAAATATCAGTTTCCCTATCTTTGAAATGAGTTTAATAATACCTACTTTAGAGAGTGATTGTGACAGTTAAATAAGGCATATAAAATACTTAGCATTGAGCCTTGTATCTAGGAACCCCTTAGTAAATATATTCATGGCTATTATTAATACCTCTACCTTACTACTTATTAGATATAGCTTTCATGTTTTAAATTGTAACTCCATCTCTTAAATTATTATACACCTCTTCTTAATAATTTTGTTTACAGACATTTGTGTATCTTAGGAGTATATATATGTTACTTTAGGGCATGTGCTTGGATGATGGGGCAGGACAAAAAGCCAAGACCAGGAGATCAGAGTAAGCAGTAGCATTGGAATTAAGAAGATAATCTGAGCATCTGGGATTAAGGACTATGGCACAGATAAATTTTTAGTATTTTAGGGATCAGGAGCCTTAACAGAAAGTTGAGGTAATAAAAGATCAGGAACTCAGGTAAGATTTGTGAGCCATGGTAATGGGATATTATCTAAATCTAGGACCTTGATAATGATCCGGTTTCCCACATCTCACCCAGAACTTTTGGATGTTTCTTTTCAAGATTAAAAAAAAAATCACTGACACTCTTTAGTCCTGTACACAAGAAAAGTAGATTCTGACAACAGTGTGGACAAGGAAAAGAGAAGTTTATGGTTTGGGGAAGTTGTTTCCCATTTTAAGATTTGAATGTGAAGATATACAGAATTTTGTAGCTAGATCAAAAGGAAAAGCCATTCCTCATCTTTTTGTGACTGTTTGCTAAAACTGTCATAATGAAAAGTATTTTGAAAGTTGTATCCAACATATACGACTTTTTCTTAGTTATTTGCAGACTTCAGTGTTTATCATAGAGGAAAGGTGGTCATGGAAGACCTTGTTGAGAAGGTGACAATTAAGGTAAAACAAAGGATAGGAAAGATAGCCACACAAAGAGAAATGGTATTTGTATTCCAGGCAAAGAAAATAATATACATGAAGATTCAGCGGCAGTTATAAGGAAAGGAAAGATAGCCATTGGGGCTAGAGAATGAGGTTTAAAGGCAGGACAAAATGATATTGGAGAAAGACAGTGACAAATTGTTCATGGTTTTATATGCCATGACAAGCCAGTTTTATTTGAGTGTTTTTTTAAGTTCAATTGAAAGTCATTAAAGGATTTTAAATAGTAAAGTGAGGTGTTCCAATCCAATTTAATTTTAAGAGGATCACTTGCTTCTGTGTGAACTGTAGGGCAGCCAGACTGGAGGTAGGAAGAATACTTAGGTGCTTTTTGTAAGAGATAATGATGTATGGACCAAGGTGTTTACAGTAGAGATGAAGAGAAGGGGGCAGATTGAAAGTACCTGTTAATGGATTACATATAGATGTGAAGGAAAGGGAAGAGTCAAGGATGATTCCTAGACAGGAGGGTGGTTGACAAGTTTGAATGGAAAAATTAAAATTGAGCTTGAGATATCTGTGAGACATCCAAGCAAAAATATCAAGCAGGCAGTTGGAAATGCAAGCCTAAAATTCAGGAAAGAGGTCTGGGCTAGAGATACAAATTTGGAAACCATCAACATAGAATGGATTTACAACCCATGAAAGTTGGTGGAATCACCTGTTAGAGGGTAGAGTAGGAAGAGAAGAGAGGCCAGGGTTTAGTCCTGAGGACATCTAACACTTAGAGGGTAGAGGAGGAATAGCCAGCAAAGAAGCCTTCCTCAGCCTACTCTGCCTGTTGGGTAGGAGGAGGGAAATTAGGATAGAGTAAGGTCATGAATTCAAAGTACTGTGCAAAAGTCAAGGAAACAGAGCTCAAAGGAATATCCCATGGACTTAATGTCATGGAGATTACTGGTAGCCTTGACAAGAGTAGTTCCAGGGAAAGATCAGGGCAGAATCCAGAATGTTAAGAATTGAGGTATGAATGAGAAATGAAGAAGTGAAGTGTAGATAGGGTGTGTAGATAAATTCTTTTGCATATTTGAGTAATGAAGAGGAGCAAAGGAGTGGACTGGCAGCTAGAAGGAGATGTGGGGTCAATGGGAAATATTAGAGCATCTTCGTGTGCTAATGGACATAAGCCAGTAGTCCCAGAGAGATTGGTAGCACATGAGAGAGAGGGTATAACCAAAGGTGCAGAGCTCCTGAGAAGACAGGAGGGACTGACATTCAGAACAGTCTTTGGTAAGAAGAAAGACATCCTACATTTTAATAGGAAAATATAGGTAAATGTGTACATTTTCTGGTGAGAAGATAAAGTCGATCAGGTCTGATGAGTTCTAGTTTCTCAGTCAAGTGTAAGGCAAGGCCATGAGCTCAAATGACCTACTGTTGATTTTTCAGACCCATTCTCTGCCCTCCAGTCTATCTTCTTGGCACTTTATATATTAATCTTCCTCAGTTGCAGTTTAGTTCCTTTCTGTTCTAGTGTGTTGAAAAGTTCCCTAATATTTTTTAAAATAAGTGTAAATTTTCCCATGTGACTCCCACCTGCTTTTCTAGATTCATCTCTCAGTTGTCTTTTTCTATAACCATAATTGAGGTCACAAGTCTACAAACTATAGCCCATGACCCAAATCTGGACAGCTCCGTTTTTGTAAAGTTTTATTGGAACTCAGTCATGTCCATTCCTTTAATGTATTGTTTATGGCTGCTTTCACACTACTGTGGCAGAGTTTGATTAGTTAGGACAGAGACTGTATGGCTACAAAACCTAAAATGTTTACTTTATGGCCTTTTACAGAAGTTTGCCAACCCTTGATTTTGATCAAACTGATCTCTTTACAGTCAAACTCAGTGGAAAGGCAGACCTGAGATTGACACTTGGTTCCAAAAGGGTCACTGAACCTTCATTTATTCATTTGTGAAATGGACATATAATACTTACCTCTCTTGTTGTCAAGAAATTAACCCGACATATATAAAAACATATGTTCCCAGCACATGGTAACCCTTTAATACAAGCATCTCTGCTTCTGTTAGCACTAGGCTTCATTTTCTTCCTTGTCCACCTTCATCTCTGTCTCTCACAGTTCTACTCACCATTCTCTGTACCTCCTTAGTGAAACATTTCCTGATTCCCAACATTCAGATGTGATTTCTCATTCCCCTATGTCATATATTTTATATTCCCTTCTAAACTACAGGTTCATTAAGTATGGGGTCAGGTGGGTACTTGAAATATTGGGGGAGGGCACTTTGTAAAGTATATGATCGTCTAACCACTATGCTGTACACTTGAAATTAATACAGAATAATATTGAATGTAAACTGTAATTGAAAAATTAAAAGTATAGCACTCCCCAAAAAAGAATAGTTAAGTTGATATCTTCCGCATATTACTGCACATGGAACAAACACAAACTGATTATTTAATCATTGGAATTGAATGAATTTACAAGAGAGATCAGTGTGGACTGGTATTTTTAGTGAAGACTTCATTAAGGAGCTCCTCTCAAATAAATATACAAGTGCTAAATGGAGGTATAATAATTGAGAAAGTTGTAAGATAAAGATAATTAAAACTTATAATTTCTATTTATGATATAATAACCTTGCAGTTTTCCATGAAATTTTCTGGGTGCTTGTACTAGTTATCTGTTGCTACATAACAAATGACCCTAAAACTGACAGGGTTAAATCAACAAATATTTATTATTTTACACAGTTTCTGAGGATTAGGAATCCAGGAGCAGCCTAGCTGAGTAGTTCTGGCTCAGGGCATTTCATGAAGTTGCAGACAGGCTGTAAGATGGGGCTGCAGTCATCTGAAGGCTGGACTGGGCCTGGAGGATCCTTTTCCATGCTCACTCATATGGCCATTGTCAGGGGGCTTCACTCCCTCAGCACATGGGCTTCTCCCTAGGGATGTTCACAACATGGCTTCCCCCAGAGCAAGTGATTCAAGAAAGAGAGAGAACATGTGGGACCAAGACACAAACCACAATAACATCACAATTATGTCAGCTTTATTTTATTGCCCATACATACCAATCTGGTCAAATGTGGAAAGAAACTACACTGGGTTATACATACCAGGAGGATGTGGGTCATTGGGCCCCTTTTTGTGGACTGGCTCCTACAGTGCTTGATACCTGGGTAGTATTTATTCCAAAGGAATAGTGTTTTCCTGTTCATATGAATGAAGCATTTATCTCATCAGTGTCAAAATCTTCAAATTTTCAAAAATAAATTTTATAACCTGTTATCACTGTGAATGAATGCTGTTCAATTCCCTTAACATGTGGTTAAAGGACCGTCAATAAAATTATATCTGCACTTTATATTACAGAATAATTTCTGTTTATTGTCCAGCTGCCTTTCACTTTTCCTTTGAAATCTGTTTTTCTCTTTTCCCTTTTAATCATTCAGATTATTTTCAAGATAAAATGACCAAAGCGAAGGATACAGACAGTTCTTCATCAGCGGATTCAAAAAGCCTTGGAGAAACTACTGATGTCTTAAATATGGTAATGGTTTTCTTATTTATGTATCTAGCTATAAGTTTGAATTTTAGTTCATCAAGTATTTGTATGTATGTGTGTACTTCCTATGCTGTTACATGCATAGAATTCTTTTTATTTTGGTTTCATTTTGTTATTTTTAAATCAGGCTTATTGAGGTATAGGATACATGCAATAAAATTAATTCCAACCCTCACATTATAAGTATGCAATTGTGAGTTGATTACATTACTATCTGAACTGTTTTGCATTATTTATGTATATTTTTAGAATGTATAAATATATAATTATGTATATGTATATGTGTCGTCTTTATTATTTTTAGAACATTTACTTTTTTTTATTTATTTCAGACACATATGATGAGCCTAAATTCCAATGAAAAGTCTTTAAAATTATCACCAATTCAAAAACAAAAGGTATAATATACAGAGTTATTTTTATTATGGTGGGTAAGAACAGTTGACATTTTTTCTCTTTAAAAGGTTTCTGGAAGAACATAAGAAAGGTAAGCATTCACTTCAGAATTGAAAGGACAAGAATACAATGTAGATCGCCTCAATTTTGGCTTGTTGGTGTGTATTTTCTATGATGCAACAAGATTAACAGAATTCCAATGCTGAAATTTGCTCTTTGCAGTCACTTAAAAAGTTGGAATAGCCATAGTTTGTTGTCATTAAGACCAAAGATTATTGTTGTAGTTTTTAAGCATTGGAAGAGCCTACTGTTTATCAGAGTGGCTCTCAGACTTTACTTGAGTATTACTTTGGATGAGTAACTGTGCTGACCTTACAGAATTATATTAACATCTTTTCTAGCTGTAAAATTTTGTAGTTTTAGTAAAAATATTTAATAATTGCTTTTCCAATGTTTGGAACGGGTCTTAGTTTATCAAGGAATTGGTTGCATAAAAACAAGGTTATACATTTGGACATTAGTCAGAAACTGTGCATGACTGATAAAAACAGACCTATAATGAATAACAAATGAATAGCAAGAGGAAGGAATAGTCTGGTTTTCACACGCTGGAGAGATAAAGTCCTCCCCTAAAATCCTTTGCTTTTCCTAGTTCTAAGGATCAGTGGGCTGAAAGGAGTTTGGGGATTAGAAGAATAAATTGGAGAAATGTAAATTGAAGGAAGGCTATAGAAAACATTTAATTTATATTTCTATTGCCTTTTACACATTAAGCTAAAAATTGTTAAAATGAAAGTAACTGAAATGCAAGAGAATCTTGTTAAATTATAAAAATTTAATGTCAATCCTTATTAGTCTTTACTGAGAGAGGCATGGTGAATCACAGCATTTTTTTTTTTTTTTAATATGGGAGGGCTGTTCTAACACAGTTGTGGAAGCTTGGTGAATGTTGACTGAGTATTGACTTCCAAGCAGACAGCTTTTCTGTGTCTTTCCTTCCTCGTGTCTTAGACTTTGGGCTCTGCCTCTTCTATGCTGCTTTATTGCACTGGGAAAATAAAGGCACACACATTTAGGAATCATTCCTGGCACCTGGGCCTTTGTCTATCTTAGGGCTTATGAAAGAATTATGACTTTCTAAAGAATAGGACCTAGAACAAACAGAAAAAGAAAGCATTTCCTTTTGAACTGATAATATATTTTATACTTCACATACTCCTTTTAAGTAGAAGCCCTACCAGGCCTACTTTGGTGAATAAAAAAAGGTTTATTATAGTATTTCTATATATTAACTTGTGCTTTTAAAATGTCTTAAAAAAGAAAAGAAAAAAAATGACTTTTTCCTAAGCCTAACACTCATCACAATTTATAAAACTTGATTTAGTGAGGTTTTTGCTACCCAGAGATCCAAATTCATCAAATATTTCGGCCTATTAGCTTATAAAATTTAGGTCAACAATTTAATTTTTGCCTTATGTTATCCAGCAGGAAATTAATTTCAATTCTTAATGTATCATTCAAATATCAGTGTTTAATTTCATAGTTTTTATAAAAATCTTATATTTTACCTTAAGTATTTTCCTTGTAGAGGTTTTTTATGTATGTAAATTATTGTAATTAAAGAATACAATATGTAAGAGGCTCAAAATTTTGAAAACCCAAGATTTTGTTTTGAAAAGAAAATATATTCATTATTATTTAGTATATTGATAAAGATTTCATTTTCAGTTTTTATTTCAGCTATTTTCTTCTATTTCTAATTTTCAATTTTTAGAAATTTCACGTTTTCATTTATTTTCTTTAATTTTGTGAATTTTATGGAATTGAAAGACCAGTCAAAATTTGACAATTCAAACGATAAGAAAGGTAGGAAAAAACTGAACTGCACTGTATGCAAGAGAAGTATACATTTTAAACAGTATTTTGCAAAGTCACTCTGAAAATGTATTATACTTAAGAATTCATTCAGATTTAGAATAGGGTCAGAGAAGAGATATTGATGGTACTGTGAATAATGGCAAAATTAAGGCAAGTAGTAAGAATTTGAAAGTTAAATACAGACACGTTACTAAATCAAAATTAGATGTACCATAGACTTAGAGAGAAGCATAAATTATCCCCAAAGAAAACAAAATCTGGGCAAAATGGTAAAACTGGACATTTTTGTTCTGTTAGTGAAACTGATAACAATGCAAAATTTTGGCAGTTTTTATAGTAAATAAGTTAACTTTTTTAACTAATAGTAGTATGACGATTACTTCAAAAAATTTACAGAAACAACAATCAATTGAGAAACTGAAGCAGCACACAGCTCATACTGAAAATGATGATAGCAGTGAATATGAAAGTGAAGAGATGTCCCAAAAAATGAAAGAAGGGAAAGCATATAAACAAATTTTGGCTACAGGAATATACATGATACCAACAGCTGGGAAGGTGGAAGCATGTTCAGATGAGGATGTAGGTGACGATTCAGGCCAACCTGTGCCTCAGGCCAACACCAAGGAGAAGGGCTTGCAAAAAAAGACATCTAGACTTAAAAATAAACATAGTACTTATCCACTTGATGATAAGGAAATAGAAAATAAAAGTGATGGAGAATGCAGTCAGAAAGATTCAGAAGAAGAAGAAGAAATAGTCTCTGAGAAGGAAACTAAGCTGGCAGAAATGTCAGGTCTGAAGGATATAAGAAAAAGTGAAGAGAATATGAAAGATATTAACAGATTCTTTGATGAATTACCAAATAGGGTCATGACTATTGATGAGGATTTTGATGAAAATGATTTTGTTAAGGAAAGGAAAAGGAACAAGCAAGATGGGATCTCTGACAATGAAAGAGAATCTGTAGAGGAAATTGAAAGTGCAAGTCAGCACAGTACAACTGATGGCTTCGAGCTGCCTGAGTCAGTAGAATGTAGTAGTGGAGAAAAAGATGATGATGAAATGGATACTTACCAAAAGTTATGGTATAGCAGAAAATTTATTGAACAAGAACATGAAGATACTGAACTCAAAATATCCGAATTCATGGCAAAATATGATTTTAAGTCTGACCACTTGCCAGAAATTCCAGAGGAAGAGGAAGGAGCAGAGGATTTAGAAGGAAGTGGAATAGAGGAGCAAGAGGTAGAGGAAAATGTGGAGATGCCTGGAGGAAAGGAGGATGAGGAAGCAGAGATCCTGTCAGATGACTTTACAGACAGAGCAGAGGTGAGTGAAGGCAATGGAAAGTTAGGGGGAGAGACAGAGGATGTGCCTGAAGGTGAATGTGAGGGAATCCAGAAGGAGGGTAATTCACAAGTAGAACAAGGGCAAAGTGAGGAGGCAGAGGAGGAGGAAGACAAAGGGGAAGGAGAAATTGAGAGCCAGGGTAAGAGAGAGAACGATTTAGAAGAGAGGGAACTAGGCCATCAGGAGAAAACGAACAAAGTGATGGAGAAAGGGGAAGGGGAGGAGCAAGGAGAGGGGGAAGGGGAGGAGGAGGAGGAAGAGGATAAGGAAGGGGAGGAAGACAGAGAAGAGGGAGAAGAGGAGGAAAAAGGGGAAGAAGAGGGAGAGGGGGAGAAGGGAGAGGAGGAGGAAGAGGAGGAAGGTGAAGAGGAGGTAGAGAGGGAAGGAGAAGAAGGAGAGGGGGAAGGGGAGGAAAGAGAGGGAGAAGGGGAGGAAGGAGAGGAGGAAGGAGAGGGAGAAGGGGAGGAAGGAGAGTGGGAAGAAGGAGAGGGAGAAGGGGAGGAAGGAGAGTGGGAAGAAGGAGAGGGAGAAGGGGAGGAAGGAGAGTGGGAAGAAGGAGAGGGGGAGGAAGGAGAGGAGGAAGGAGAGTGGGAAGAAGGAGAGGGAGAAGGGGAGGAAGGAGAGGGAGAAGGGGAGGAAGGAGAGGGAGAAGGGGAGGAAGGAGAGGAGGAAGGAGAGGGAGAAGGGGAAGAAGGAGAGGGGGAAGAGAAGGAAGGAGAGTGGGAAGAAGGAGAGGGAGAAGGGGAGGAAGGAGAGGGGGAAGAAGGAAAGAATGAAGGCCAGAAAAGGGAAAGGAAGGAGGGGGAAGTGAAGAGGGAAGAGGAAGAAAACAGGAGGAGAAAAGAGGAGGAAGAAGAGGACATTGAGGTAGAGGAGGGGAAATACCGGGAGACAGGTGATGAAGAGAGTGAAAGGCTGGGAAGACAGGGTGAAGGAAAAGAGTCCAGAAAAGTGAGCAGAATCAAAGGATCTGTGAAATATGACAAAGATAAAACATATCAAAAAAAGTTTATTACTAACACAGAGGGAAAGGGGAAAGAACATCAAGTACAGAGGTTTAGAATGCCAGTGCAGTCAAAGCAAGTTTTAGAAAATGGTTCTAAAATTTTTCTGAAGCCACCAAGTTCCAAAAAATTCTGGAATAATGTGTTACCACAATATTTGGAACTGAAGTAACAAACTAAATTTAACCTGATTATGTCTAACCAAACAATTTGATTGCCTTACATGTAATAGCCACTCAGTACATTTTATTAAGTTGATTTTATGTCATGGTTACGTTACATGTGGTACAATAACAACTGATAAGGACAACACAGGCACTGGTAAATTTTAGCTTCTCTTAAACTAATATCTTGGTGTATTTTCCACCAAAATTATTATTCTATAACTAGAAAATATCAAAAAGTCATAGCAGATAATTAACATTATATATTCCTCATTAAAGATAGAGTTAGGAAATAGGAGTACACTTATAAGAATATTTTGTTTGTGTATACAGAAATGGCACAGATCCTTAAGGGCTATAAAGGCATCTGATTTCTTATAAATATGTTAGCACAGTTATGTTCAGTCTGATTATAGTTTACCTACCACATAGAATAATTTTATAAGAATGGATGATATTCGAAAGCTAACATGAGGAATTTACATTTTAAAGAAATATTGCTGTCTTTTCTACCTCTTATGTGTCCTTTTTACTATAATCTACCAAGTGACAGTTGGATTCAGAGCTCAGATCTTAATAATGTAGTCTCTTTTAGTTACTGTCTAGGCAAATAGCAGCATATATAATGAAATGGAGATTAACTTAAACTTGTAATTTGGAAGTATGTAAAACTTTAAGTATTTCTTAGCCTCGCAAAGCTACTCATTAGGCCTCAGCTTTCTCATCTGTAAAACGGAGTGGATTGGATGATATAACTATACTTCTAACTTAAATTCTTTCATTCTTAGGCTGGTTTACTCTATCATATTCGTTATTTGCATAAGAAATTTTTAAGGAAGAATTGCACTTTAAAATTAATCTAGTTTTCTATAAACTATTCTTTTCTCTTAAAAAGTTATGACAGGTTTAATGTCTTTTGTCTTCTGTAATTCTGTATTTCTAAACTTCTATAATTTCCATGCTTTAACTATACTGTGAGTAACTTCATTCTCAGTATATATTTTTATGTACCCTCAATGTATTCTTCATTGACTGTTCTGTAATTCTGTTTGTTGCTTGTCAAATGTTTCAAGTAAAATAAAATTTAAATGTATACAGTCACTAATTGTGAAAAGAGAAACTAATCTTAGATATTGAATTTTAGAGAGGCTAGATTTCTACTAGTGTAATTTCAATCTTCCCTTACCGTTTTCAATGTATATAATGCAGCTAGTTTGTTTGATTGTCTTTTATTCATAGCTCCCTTTTCAACTAATTTCCTTCCACAGTCCCTCCTATGTCTTGGACATGACTATTTCTTATACATTCTTTTATCAAGGAGTTTTGGGTGGTAAACTTCCTTTGAATTTTGTGTAGTTGAGTTCTTTGCACATTTGATTCTCCTTGAGTGAGAAAGAATATGAGAAGAAACACCAGAATATGAAATGAAGAAATTCCTAGGAGCAACTATAAATTTTGTTTTAGCTGCAAGGATCTCTGGTAGCTTCCCCTAACTAACCAAATGTGCTGATTTGGAATTACAGAGTTCTTCCAAATTCTACCATATTCACTAAGTGTTAGTAGAATATAATTAATATTTTGATAAAGGTGTATGTGCTCTGTTAATTCTAGTGAAAAGCTAGAATTGGTTACTTAAAAATTAGACTTAAGATGATTAAATAAGATGGGTGACAGAGTGGAGATCATAAGGAAGACCTCCATGGAGATGAGAAACTATTTAAAATCCTCACCCTAGGATATGTTTATTGATTTTAGAGAGAGGGAGGGAGGGAGAGGGAGAGAGAGAGAGGAAACATTGATGTGAAAGAAACATCAATTGGTTGCCTCCCATAAGCGCCTCAACTAGGGATCAAACCCACAACCTAGGTATGTGCCCTGACCAGGAATTGAACCTGCCACCTTTTGGTGTACGGGATGATGCTCCAGCCAACCAAGCCACCTGGCCAGGGCAGTGAGAAACTCTTAAATTCAAGTTATTAAAGTTAAAAGTATAGGCATTCATCTTCTACTGAAGAGATAATCAGCCAGCAATAATGAAATGATGTTTTTAAACTGTGTCCAACTCAGTATTTGAACTGGTCTAGCTAACCATTTTTAAATGATCACTTCTTACCCATTTCTTCACATTTCCTTTGCCAAAAACTTTTTGTGCTGTTTTAGAAGCAGTAATTTGTGTGACATAGTGTTCTCATTAAGATACTAGCCTGGTCGTTTTCAGACCTGAATTAATACTTAGTTAAATAGATTGGAGTAATTGATTCCTTCTTTATGGTCCCTATCTGCTGGTCAATCAAGCTTTTACTGTAGTTTATCAGTGATCATTTCTGAGGCAAGTGTGAGTAGTGTGTATAGAATCCATTGAGTTACAGTTTAAAATGACTGGCAGAAAAATACTGTAAGGTAAGCTATAAAGGAGTACAACAAAGGATCTACTGCTGCTGAACATCAGCATTTGAGGTGAGTGCAATTGAAATGTTTGTTATTATTTCGCATAGAGATAAATTTGCTGTACACATGTTAAAAAGAAAATGCTACCGTGGAGGAAGGTGCTGTAATTCCTTCATTCTTTCCATTGTGAAAATTAAATGTGATACTATATGCCCAGTGCCTGACACATAACTTAATATTTGTTACATATTATTCATTCAACAAATATTTATATACCAAGCACCAAAAATAGAACAGTAGCTTCCCCAAATCAGGTGGATCTCAAGAAGTGAGGGCTGCTTACAGTCAACTTCCTGTGGCCCTCTTCTCTGTCAGGGATGTTAGGTAAGTATAGATTTCTTGAAAGAATAGCAGGTAAAAGGAGTTCCTGGACTCTCCCTTAACTATTGTTTAACAGTGTCCTTTTGTTTACCTTTGCTCCCATGTTCTTAGCCAGGATTGCCCAAAGATAAAAATGGGATCTTAAAAGAGATTTATGGCTTTCCTACATCAAATCCCTTAATAAGAAGAAAATGGTTTTGTGCCTTGCTTATGCAGAGAATAAGATGTGGCTCCTGATCTCAGGGAACTCTTGGTTATTTTTACAGGCTGACCGGAAAATTTACAAGTATAATAGAGTGCTTCAGGAGTAGCACTAGTGGCTGCCATAAAGAAAGGCTAGGAAAGGGCTTCCAAGGAGCAGTGGTGAAATGTGAACTGAGTCATGAAAAGTAAAACCTAACCAGGAAAAGGGGAGTGTGGAGAGGGGGCTTTCCAGGCTGTTGGGAGCCATGAGAGTGTTTTGGTGTCAGTGCAGCTTAGAGTGTCCTTTGGTTCTGGATAGAGAGGCAAAGGGCCTTATGTGTTTGTAAAAGATGTTAAACAAGAGTAAGTGCTAACACTCGGGCTTTTGTAACATCATTATGCAGCAGTATGGAGGGTGGATTGGAAGGGAGCAGGACTAGAGGCAGGGATGCCAGTTTGGAGGCAGAGTAGACGAGGCAGAGACTGAAGTGTGGCTGGACTGGAACAGTGGGGATGGATAGTTTGGGACATATTATTGAGAGAGATATAGAGATAGAATTGGAAGGCTTAGTAAAGAGATGTAGCTTGGAGGATGGGAAAAGACCAAACTTTTCTTGTTTCTGGCCTGGAGAACTAGGTGGAAAGAGTGCCGTTCACCACGGCTGAGAACAGAGGAGCAGGGCCAGGTTTGAGAGACCGCTTGGGGTTTGTTGACCCAGGAGATGTTCAGCAGTAAAATGCACATCTGCATCTGGAGCTCAGGGGAGATTGCTGAGTATCACCAGCACGTATATGTAGTCAAAACAGTGGAGTTGAATTTTCATAGTGTGAAAAGAGAACTGAAGACAAAATTCAGGGTAAAGTCAGTAGGTAAGGTGAGGGTGAGAAAGGGAAGTCTGAGAAGGAGGTGGGGTGGGAACACTTTTCAGGAAAGAGTTGCTGCCCAAGTCAAGGAAGAAGGAGAAGTGGGGGGCTGTAGAGATGGCCTGTGAGAGCCCTAGTGGAGAGTTGGGCAGAACCCACATTGCCAGCAAAGAGTGAGCTCCAGGAGGTCTGTTTGCAGAGAAATAGAATCAGAGCTAGACTTTGAAAAGTAAATATCAAAGAGTGCTACTGGCATATATCTCAATTTAGGAAGGGAGATGTATATTTGAGAGACTTTGGTGCTCTGGGAAAAGAAAATCCTAAATGTTCAGTTGTTATACTATATACAATGGTATATTAAGAGTAGGATGTTATTGAAGTGAGCTGTCATAACATAAGATTCTGCAATGCTTTAAATATCAGTGTGTGAGTGTGTATGTGTGTGAGAGGGATGGACTTTGAGGGCAGGCATTATGGTCTTCAATTTATTTCAGCAGAGTTGGGGAAGAGCATGGGCTCTGGAGTCCAGTAAACCTAAGTTCAAATCTCAGCCCTTCATTGATTAGCCGTGTGAACACTTGGACACATTTTTTTTAAACCTTTCTGAGTCTTATTTCCTCATCTAGTAAAGGAAGGGGAGTCTTTTGATAATTAGTCAATACATGAAACATGTTGGGGGTACGCAACATACCCTCCTGAATCTCCAAGTCACTGACTGATATGCATGAGTTTTTTTTGTTGAACCTCATTTTTGTTTAGATATAACATAGCAACTCCCAAAAAAGTGGCTTATGGAAACAGATCTGCGGAAATGAAATGGATTACAATAATTATAACCCTTAAATATGAGGTAGAGTGGAATTCTACCATTACACAGCATACATGGATCAAATACTGCCCCTCAACATTTGAAGCATGAGCAAAGCCTGACCTCACTCACATGCCTAAAATTTAGATGTTAGTGCTGTTATGGGTACCATAGAGTTCTCTGTGTCCTAATGTTTTTATCAAAATTGTTAAAAATAATTCACACATAAAGTGTAAACAGGTTTCATACATTTGTTTAAGGTGAAGAAGAAAATAAGTTTTCTAAGGAAAAGGGGAAATAATAAAGAGTAAAAGTAAAAATGAGAATAAAACTATATCAGCAAGATGTTCTATACCCTGAGCATTACATTTATTTTTACAGTCCTGCTAATGAGAGTCAAACTGTAATGTATTTGGTGGTGAAAATATGGGATTAGGAAAGAAGTGAGGGATTGGTACATAGAAGGAAAAGTTTAGCAATTATAAAGTAGTGTCATTGGAAGCCAACAATTCAGAAGTCACAACTGGTAGCCCACAGGTACAGTCTGGCCTGCAGATTTATTTTTGGTATACATCATGATTTTTTTTAAGCATGTGGTTCTGTTGCCAACATGGAAATAACAGATTTCACATTTAAAAATGTATTGTGGACTTCTGTTGGAAAACCTGAGTGTCTGGGAGCATCGTGTCCTATAACAACATTGACCTGCAGCCCAGGCAAGGCCTTTCCTCCACTTCACAGCCTTCCTAGGTTGCTCCTGACAGGCACAGCACCCTCTTCCCTTGCTTGCTCTGGCTCCTGGCAGAGAATAAAGGGATGTGTGCAAGGGAGTAGAACAAATGAGTGAACTTTTAAGTGAACTGTTTTCTAGTGATAAGATCTGGGATATTAGGGCAAAAAAGTGTCAACGCTAGGGATCCTATCTTTCTATGGAGGGGCCTTTACAAAATTTCTTATAGTTACATACAAATAGTTTGCTCATGGTTTTTTCTCTGTCAATAATGTTTTTCATTGCTAATGTCATTTTCCCATTTTACAGGTAGACTGTAAAGTACATTAATTAGGTCTCTTGTTCAGGCCATAACTAATGGAGAAAGGCTTGGAAAGCAGTGCTTAGGTCTTTGTATTTAATGCCCTTCCCCCTCTCTACTACCTCAGTGATTTCTAGTGTAATTAAAACATGAATTTCCATGTTAACTCTTTTTGTCCTAAAGAAACCTTGAAATTAAGATTAAAAAATATGCACTTTCCCACATGATATGACTTAGATATAAAGTTTTATGCTGTTAGCCTGTTTGGAAAACGTTTTCTATCCTATATGACATTAGTATAAAATTCTATGCTTTATAGTTTTTTTTAAAGTTTAAAACAATTCTTTTGAAGTTAATACATGGGAAAGTCTATATGTCATACACATATAGTGCAGTGTCTATCCCACAAACTGAACACAGCCATATAGTTAACATTCAGATCAAGGAAAAGGACAGTGTCAGCTTCCCTTCAACCCCCTTCCACCATTTCCCATCCCCCCTCCCAGGGTGACCACTAGGCTGACTTTTGATAGCAATCTAGGTTTTAAAGCGTGCAATGTGATCGTATTCTTAAGGAAACTGAAACCTTAGGAAGAATGTTTGGTTTCCTGATATTTCCCATAAGAAATGTAAAAAGCAGTGCCCTGGGCCAGACCGAAGGCTGCAGCTCCCGATGCTCTGTCTGAACAATGAAACAAGGATCCTTTTGTGGGAGCCAGGCCCATTCACTTCTTTACTGTGGTCTTAACACAAGATGCATTTCCACTGACCGCTCAAGACTAGCTCTTTACTTCTTATGTGGTTCTGGTGATAAGAATGTATTTAAACTTTATCCTTTCTTTTATAAAATGACAGTATTCTGCCAATCTCTGCTAAGTTGTTTCAGTTTGAAGGTAAGTGCTGTATGTGATTTAAAGTAGTTGAGCAGATGTGTATAGATTCATTTTAAATGTGCTTAATATGTGCAAAGTGCTAAAATTGATGTGATTTTTAGTGAAAATGCCATTTTCTAAGAACTTTATCAAATTTAGCAAATGATGTAGTTCTAACAGTTCTTCATTGTTATAGATTTTCATAAAGTTAATGAGTAAAATTATAGTTCATTATTAAAGAAATGAGTCTTTTGCGTATTTCTAAAATAATGTAAAATTCCATGTTTTCTGTCATAATAGCATGATATCCTGAGGTTACATCAATGCCTTAGTTAACTAGCACAATTGGAATTGACGCAGGTGCTAGATTACCAAACTCTGTAAGCAGTGAGGACTTTGCTGGAACACAACTCACTGACTCTCCCACTGGGAGATAGTAGGGCTGAGTCTGAAATTCTCGGTGTCAGGAGCACTGTTATTTCTAGTTGGCCTTCATTTATCTACGTTTATGAATACATCTGTTTATCAGCAGAAGTCTTAAATCTAGTAATCTTGCTTCCTATTCCCTTCCAAAGTCAAGCTGTCTCTGACCATTTTAGCTACCCATAATGTGCACCTGGCTAGGCCTAATACATAATATAAGTCACTCAGAGGGGAAATCATGCAGAAAAAAAAGTCTTAAACGTTCTTGGTAAATAGTATCTATCTTATAGTTAACCCTATCCAACCTAAACATGTCTACCCTGGTACCCTGTTCCCCTCTCCTGTGTTCCCCTCTTGTATGCACTGCCTCATGATTTTTGATTAACCTAAGTCAAGCCTTCCCAGAGTAACTTCTGAAGCTTTTTTAAATCTCAAGGCTTCACTTCTGTATTGCTTGTCCTTAGTGGGAATGCTTTTAGACCATGTAGTGCTGCTGGCCTGGGGATGCCACTTAGATCTGTTACTAAGGTGCCAAATATACACATATCCTCTCCCTAGCCTTAATTCTCTCACGGTTTTATTTTTACCAGAAGAAAGATGAATTAATTATTAGAGGCATTGTTTTCAAACCACCCACTAAAGATTCTGTTGGGTGTCAGGCTTATCCTTAGCCAAACAGCCACTAGGAAGTTGACCAGGAGAAGGTAGTTAGTGCTGAAGGCATATAAAGGACATACATGGTTTGATACAAATAGGGCCAAGATGAACTTTGTAAATATGTTCTTTGAGGGAGTGAATGGCACTGATTACTTACTGCTTTGCCTATTTTAGGGGTCATTTTACCTTTAGTGAAGTGCAAAATGAAAAAAGCATAGGAAAAAAAATCCAATGAGGAGCATAATCACTTAATGACAAAAAATAAAGAGTATTCCACCCCAAATAAGAAACTACAAAAAACTAAGATCTCAATATAGAAATAAAGATAAACCTAATATTTTCTGCCTGTACTTAATAAGGATCACATGATTTATTCTCAGTCTATCAAATTCATAGATAGGCTGTTTTATAATTTGGATTAGCTGGAGTCAGAGTAAGTTCTGCCTCAGTTTGATTTTCCCTTTGCTGAAAATAGCTAAGAGCAAATCATTTAAACTGTTTATGTCCCTTTATCTTTTTCCTGGAATGTAAGTAATTATACTTACTTCTTGTAAATGAATTGTACTTCTGAAATGATTTTAAATCCCTATGTTTTGGAAAATGAAAATAATATATAGATATAATTATGTTACAATGTGATAGTAGATAGGAAGCTTTTTAACTTCTTTAAAGTTTAAAAGCATTCTTTTGAGACAGCTCTGATAGCATATTTAATTTTTTTTCCGTTTTAACCTTTTCATAGCTGCTAATAGAATTTTGGGAATTCTAGTCATTAAAAATGAAGTAGAGCAACAGGCACAAAATCCTTGGTAATATAGTAACTTGATATGCAGCATGGGTTATGCAGCATTTTTTTTTTTTTTTACTTCAGTATTTGAATTCATATCCACATGTTCTTTGAGATGGTATGAGCTATTTATGATAGGAGTGCAAATCTCTTTTTTTAAAAAAGAAAATCTAACTCTTCCCCGATTATCAAATTTGCCACAGGGTCGCACACTTTCAGAAAATGAAGAACCAGAAGACGAAGAAGATGAAATTAGTGAACATCTGGAAGATGAGAAGAAAGCTGTGGGAGACAATAAAAATGTTCCTGCAGATGACCAGAGTGAAACCAGCGACAGCTCAGTTGAAAAGGTATTGACAACTATTGAAAAGGTATGATGATATGTGTTTAAATCCTGAGATCCTGCCTAAGAGAAAACATGGGTTCCCTGGTCTCTGCAGAGGGCAGATTCCAACTTCCTTTGGGAACAAAAATATTTATATGAATAATTTTCTTCATGCAAATTTATGAATGACGTACACTTTGTTTCTAACCCTCTTTCCATACTTCTTGGTAGCTTCTGTTCCCTGCATGAATGGAAACCAACTTATGTGGGCCAGTATAGCACAGTGTACTGTTGGGAAATTAACAATGAAGTTCAGCACTGGGTCCCTGAAATAATGAAGAATACAAAGTTAGGAGCACTGTACTGGTGGCAGAAATGGAATGTGTGGGTTCCTGCATACATGTGTGCGTTTACATGTATAGGGACAAGCTAAAGTTGTTCATGGCAGTATTTGAGGTGGTGATCAGCTCTGGAGAGATGCAGTCTAGAAGGAATTATTTATGGGAGAAAGAGGAGGAGGTAAGCCACCCTAAAGGCAGAGCTAGGGATGTCAAAAACATCTCTTCCATTTGGCAGTTTTGAATAATAGTGACCCTGCTAGGAGATAGTTGGTAGGTTTGAAATCATTCATTTGCTAACTCTGGATTAATTTCAGAGATACGGAATTCAGAAACCCAAACTGAATGACCCTGTACTGATTCATTTTTGTTTTCATTTTTTGGACCTCTTGTGCAAAACACTAAATTAGTCATGCCTTCTCATTTATGACACACTGTTATCATTGGTCTTGGCAAGTCTCCTCTCTCTTTATTGAAATCAGTCCCTTTTAGCCCTATTTCCTTTCACCCTAACATAGACAACCATTGAAACATGCTTGTCCTTTTATATGAATGTGTACCTGTAAAACACGTTGTTTGTTGTTTTGTGTGCATGTATTTTTAATTTACAAGATGGTATTGTATTATAGAGGTCATTTTCTTCCTTGATTTTATTTTCCAAGACTCCTTACTCTTACTGAGAGAAAAACGTTCTATTAGTTACTGCTTTTTTTTCCCTGTTGTTGTTTTTTAAAGAGGGAAGGAAGGATTCTGTTTATAAGGAACATTTATGAGTTACAGTTAGGGTGGTCCCTAAAATTCTTTAACATAGAACTCATTAAACTACAATTTGACATTGTAAGATGCTGAGCGAAATCATATACCGATTGATATTCCTGAATATTCTTTTAGTAGAATTCTTGAATCATACAAATTTTTTTGAATCATGCAATTTTAAGCTAGGAGTGACCTTAGCAATCACTCAGCATCTAAGGCAAGAGCCCAGCAAAGCGAATTAATTGTCACGTTTATGTTAATAGCTAGAGGCCGACTCTGGAACTCTGCTTAAAAAGCAAGACTAGGTTTTCTAGCACAGCACAAATATGTTTTTTATTATATTGTTTCTTTATTGTTTATAGGACAAAAAAAACAACCAAGAGGAACCGGCCATTTCTGAATACAATGAAAATCCAAAAGGTGTGAGCACATTTCACTTCAAAAGTATACCTTTAGAAAGGCTAGATATATAACATACATATATATCTACATATATATATGCATATATGTGCCTTTAATGAGTAAGTATAGTTTACACACATGAACTCTATTTTATACTTTTTACTATCACATGACTCATAACAAGCTATGCAATATGTGACAGGAACTTAATTGTTCTCATTGATAGCCATCACAGCTTCTTCACATAAAAATATTAACACTACTCCTAGCTGCTGATATGTCATTTTCAAGTGGTTTAGGACAGCCTTTTCACTACTTTTTTTCCTTTTAAATCAGTATTATTAAATTAAGCTTTTGCCGCACATTTCAATTCGTATCTCTGGTGAGCACTGCCAGACCCTATTACCAATGACCAGGCTGGCCTAGAGCCACAGCAAGCCATCTAGTTATTTCCCTCAGACCTCAGACCTGAGTCTTTGATCTTACCACAGACATTTAAGAGGAATCCTTTCCCAGATCCAGCTGTTGATGTCAGAGAACAAGTGTCACAGAACAGAGGAAACCAACATTTTCTACACCCAAATCATCTGTGTTTTTGCTGTACGACCCCTATATTATGTTTCCACACCATCACATCACAGTGTGCTTTTTACTGTGTTCTCATTAAAAATACCTGTCATAATAGTAGATATTTGATCTGAACTTAAGCAGAGAAGAAATAGTTCCCTTAATACTTTTTCCCTTCTAACTTCTGTGGAAAGACTAGTAAGTTTTAGACTATTTTAAGAAAAATGTTAAAATATTTATCATCTCTAAGTATTCGTAGCGTATAGCCTAAAATGTTAAAAAGAAGTTAAATGTAACATTTAAGTAGTTGATAATATAAATTAAAAGAACGCTTCATGAGTATACTTTAAAGATCATTATTTAACTATATAACGTGGATTAATTTGGAACACAAAAAATAACATGTCCATTTGAGTAAAAAGAATTTAATTATAACTAGGTTAATTTTAAAAAGTAATTTATATTTTACAGAAACCTTTCCTAGCATTTACTGTTAATTTTGTAGCCATATTTGGGTACTGGCCACCTAACTTTCATAGCATTGGTCAGGTCATTCTGGGCTTTTTGCCTTAACTTTTCAGGAAATATGCAATGTGGATCTTTTCCGTTATTCCAGTGGTACAGTCTTTTATTATTACTCCATAATTCAGAGTTCATAGAGTTTCACTGAAAGCATCAGGACTTTTCTTTTTCTCATTAGTTAGGAAAAAATTTTCTAAATATATTCTATTGTAGGCAGCATACGTGAGCTCGCAAAGAGCAGTTCTTCAAAAGTCCTGGAAGAAAGTGTATCCACACCAGGTAAAGACGTGAAAGTATCAAAGAAGGTAAGTGAAATGAACTTCTCATTTTAATATTAATACCAGAGTATTGAATTGCTCTTTCTACTTTTTATATGATGATCCACATAATTTAACTCTTAATATGAGTTTTTATGCCCCAAAACATGAAGAATTTCAGGTGATGTTTCACATGTTTAACATGCATATTTATTTATTGGACTTTAGATTATTAGTCAGGTAGTTCTTCCAAAATATAATAGCATATTTTTTCAATCATCTCATCCATGCTGATTCATCATACAAAAAAAGATTCATAAAAGAACTTTATTGCTTAAATTATAAGAGTATAATAATCATGAGAGCCTAGAAATGAGTAAGGCAGAGCCATGAAATAGAAAAGATGAATGAAAAACTAAAAGATGGTTGTGTTTAGAAAACATTACAACATGCTACTTCAGTCTCTTAGGAGATGACTAATACCTGCTTTGGAGTTGTTGAAAGTGAGGAATATGTTTCTTCTCCTTGAAAGTAAGTTGCTCTTTTCACTTACTCTTTTCAGAGCTTTCTATAATCATGAGACCATATGTCAGGGTAGAAGAGGAAACATGGAAGAAAAGAAAAATGAAAGGCCTTGTTAGTCCCTATTCAACCTTCAGGTCTCATCTTAAATGTCATTTCCATATACAGGCCTTTTGTGACCAGCAGCACTTAAATAAATTATTATATTCCATTATTATTCTCTCACATAACACTTTTCTTATCCTTCTTAATATTCATCACAATTTGCAATTACATAGTTGTCATTTGTATGTCTATTAGCCTATAACCTCTATCTCCCCACTGGCCTTCAGCTCCATGGGAACAGAAATGATAATCTTATTTTCCAGTGTGTGCTCAGCACTTATCATAGTTTCTGGTACGTGGTAAATACTCAGTAATTATTTTTGGTTGACAATGAGTTGTATAATGTAAGGGAGTAAGAAAGAGGATAGGGTGAAGGTATAAAACCAGAAGCTGCACTTAGAGTAGTAAATAGCCTGTCTTTTGCCATCTTTGGAGGTATATGCCACTCTGAAATTCCTTTTAGAATTACTTTAGAAATTTCACATGCTATTTGGCCCTGACCCCCATATTGTCATCTTTTATTAAAAATTAACTTATGACCGTTTTTATCTTGATAAAAATTATCTTATAAATTTGGATTATTATACCCAAAAGATAATTGTGACCTGGGTCAAAGGACACTTTGAATTATCTTTAGAATTATAGCAGATATATCATCAGAACATTTGACCAAGGTTTAGGAGCTTTTTTAATTCTCTGTCTAGTAGACCAGAACATTTAACATATACTGTACTATGCATCATAGCATTCCTGTGAATACTTTTTCCAATTATAAAAGCTCAGGGAAAGAACCTGGAAAAAAAAATCAAATATGACGGTGGAAGATGAAAAGTGAAAGAGGAGACATAAAAACCTAAGGAGAGGAAAACTGAAGTAAAGCAGAAAAAAAAA